GTATTAGAATTACAACCGCTAAAAAATTACATTTTTATATCGTCATATTTTTTTTAATGTATTATTTTCTCTCGCTTCATCCGCCATTACTAGAATAAAAAAATCTCCGGTCGGGCCGCAATGCATTATGGGATATGGTGGACCGGGAAGGATCCATCAGACCTGTCCTTCGATTCGGGCCAAAGGAAGGACGCATTTGTCGGCCGCATCGGAGGAGTCTTCAGTTTTGGACGTCCTTCGTCACGGCGCTGTGACGTATGCAGCCGACGAATTCGGCCTTCGGAGGACCCGGCACACCATTTTGGACACAGCCACACACACACACACACACACACACACACTTCAGCAGAGGCCACGCCTCCAGCAAGCAATCGCTTCTCTATAGCCGAGAGTCCAGTACGAAGCAAAGCGAAGAACAAGGGTCTGGTTTTAACCAGGCTAGGTTTGAGGGTGACTCTCACAGACTTTCATAAAGCCACGAGCCCATCCACACTTTTACGTCTGACAAACTCTCAGGAAAGTTCTTATATCCTCTAGCTGACCTGTTGCTATTTTGTTTAATTAGTCTGGAGATGTTCACAAGTGTATTRATAGCAAGAGACCCTTCACAGCCCATTAATATCTTTCAAACATGTTGCCGGTACAGACGTGTTCGTATTTAAATAAATAAAATATTTTCAGTAAGAAGAGTTTTATGATGCTTCAGTAGTGATTAGATGAAATGTTCAAGGTATTTTTGTTTATATTTTACACAGCATGTGCTCTAATTACATGCAAACAGAAGTGCTCTGTCTTTGTATCAAAACTAGTTTCACTTCAAATTCAACTGAAATTCACAAAAACAAATCATCCTAAAATATTAAACGATAAAAAASAGAGGCCAGTCTTTATCTCTTATGATTGCCTCACCTGTGACTTGAACTCCGATGCGAAAGTAGACATCCAAGTTGCTCAGATACCTCTCCACCAGGATGTAGTACCACTGCTCCCAYGCTGGTACCAGAGTGACTAACTCACACGGGTTCCACTCCCTGCAGTCGAGGGCACTTGAATTATGCACGGGCGGCGCCCTCGCTCTCATCTTCAGCACCACGGGACACGTGTCGCTGCTTTTGTTCTTGGTGCTGCAGTTTACCAGCTGAACCTTCACCTTGGATATATAATTTGGAATGAACACCCTGTACAGAGGTAGATGAGGCACAATCAACAGAATACATATAAACACAACAAATTGTTTTATTTACTTTTCCTTTAATGAAATTCTTGTAATGTATTTAATTTTGTCTTAAACCCTCATAATTCCATATTTTTCCAACAGAACCAGTTGTTCTCAGGCTGAAGGTTAACTTGTGGTTTTTTGAGTCTCTAAAAATAAAACAGGAAGCAGAGGTTTCAGTTATCAGGCTTGTTTTTTGTAAAACCAGCTTCCAGTTTTGATGAAGGAGACAGACAATTTTTGATCATTTGTACTTTACTCAAGTAGCATTTTAATTAAAAACTTTCTTACTTTTACTCCACTACATTTTAATTATAAAATCATAATTTTACTCCATTACATTTCTCTAACTGCTTTAGATACTAGTTACTTTTTTGGCCAGGTTTCTGTAGTGTGTATCTATTTTGTTTCACCAACACACTGTAAAATTACACATTACTTAAATTCTACTTAATTGTAGGCTCTATCAAAAACTTGTCCTTGAAGCTAAGACCAAGTAGAAACTAAAAGATCTTGACAGTTCTTTCAAAGTATAATTAGTATTTTATTCGTAGTATTTTTTCTTCTATTGTATATACATTGTAC